GTTCTTGATGGAGCTCTGCTAGCTGTGAGGGATATGCTAGAACTGGCTTATCCACTGGTTCAAGCTCTCAAGCGCGGAGTGGTAGTAGTTACTGGCACAACATTATAAGCAGAGAAAATGACTGGTTGGCCGGGAGAATTCACCAACTTCTCTGCTTGGGATGGACCGAAACAGATGGTGGACGGGTGCTCCCGCTGTCCCAAGAAGATCTGGCCCTGCTTGAGCGTCCCAGCAGCTCTTAAGGTGGATGCTTGAGATTTCTCCACAAGGCTATCAGAACGTCATAGTAGCTGCCTTTGAGGCTATGTGGAAGAAACACAGGGGAAGGATGGCCTCTATGCCGTTGTTTTTGCCGCTGCTGGGACATCCGAAATGTCCACGTTGGTTTCGTGACGCCGCAAACGTACATGGCAAGATGAAGGAGGGGATTTACAATGTCTATGTGCATTCGAACGGGTATACCTTGCCGATGTTCCTCTCTGATTTGAGCAAGGATCAGCAGCTGTGCACTGCCTTCGTTTGTGAAAACAATGATGTGGTCAGGGAATTTGAGTTCCAGCTCCCTGATGGAAAGACGGTATCGGTACTCTGCACTGATCAACATCAGCTGACTGAAGATGCTATGCTAAAGTCGGGTGTTAGGGATCCCGCTCTAGCACACTGTATTCCTATGCAGCTGCACTTCCTTTACCGGAATCGAGGACAGTGGCCTACTGCCTTTTGGAATGGATCAATGGGAACCATTATTATAGACATCGAAAGTGCTTCAAAGGAGCTGTATCTTGATGGAATCCAGGAGAGTAGTAGATGGTATACGAGTGGTGAATCGCCTCTTTCAGTTTCTTGAGGCAAATTTTAGAGGCTAGTAACTTGAATATGGTATGGTTGAGCATCGAGGTGTGACGAGCTATTTTCGAGATTACAAACATCTTAACTATCAGACTAGAGATATATTTTGCTACCGTCCAAGCCGGGGCGAGTTTGCCCGTCCTTCGGGGCTGTGCCCGAACTAGCTAAGAACAGTCTATCACGAGCTTGTGGCGAGTGATTGGGGTACATAATATAATCAGATATATGTGACTGAATAATGGGGATGTGCCTGAGCTGTTAAGGGCGATGTTATGGTGGAGTGTATTCTCGAGAATAAGGACATTCTTGACTGTAACACTTTTCAATCCAACGGATACAGACAGTCTGATTAACAAACTGTGAAGGCCAGGATGGAAGATCTCTCACTCTGTTCATGTCTTCTTGCTCACAGATAATGGCCGTGGCGTTTTTTCTCTGTTCTGGCCAATGGCTTTGAGGGCTGTGCATCTTAGCACTGTTGTACTGTGGGCTGATATCCAGCGAAGAGATGGTGTTCCCCGAGGGGAGGTATTCACTCCTTAGCTCAAGTGCTTGTGGTCATAGGAGTGTTGAGTATGTTACTCTTTGATCTTGGATGGCAGATGCACATAGAAAGATGTATTGACTATGATGAATAGTTATTAAAATGGTTTCTATATGTTTGTTTTTTACAATTGTTAACTATTCAGGACTTGCGATGTAGATGGATGCGAAGAACACTTTTTTGAACAGAAACTTTAGCAACTAGTACACATATGACAATTTCTTACTTTTGAAGTAGAAAGCAAAGAGATTTATGTGTGTAAGCTGAAACAATCCATTTATACAATCTCCACAAATTTGGTACAATACTTTAATTAACTTTTTTTTCCAATGTTGGGTTTTGTCAGATTAGAACATGTCTGTTTATCACAAAGATGGAGATGGTTAGAGGATTATGATGGGTTGCTACATTGGGTTAAAAAGAAACTTTTGGAACAGCTGAAAATGAGTGAGAGGATAAAAAAGGGAGAAATTCAACTGATTCAACATATTTATAACTTAATGAAAGGACTTTGAATCTTGTGACCTCTTTGCCAATGGTGAGCCAATGGGGAGTGTTGGAGCAAGGTAAAGAGTATATAAATATTATATCCCTTTGATCAATACATGTGTATATCTGCCGGTATATTCTATTCTAACATTGAGCTACTTGAATTGCATTTTTGAGAGATCGACAATGGTGTCTCGACTTTCAATGATGGAAACAAATTGGATTTTGAGGCCAAGACAGAGTAACACTCACAGATGATTCCTCCTTGTCGAACAAAAACCCAGATGCTCCAGACTCAAGCATCTGGAATTTCTTGCCCAAGAACCACAGAAGCTGCATACTGCAGGAGAATGCAGGGCCAACATTGATGGAAACATCTCTCCAACCTCGCATTCATCACTAGACGCACTTAGAATCCCTCGGGTGAGATCAATGACAGCGTCTCAGCTCTCGATGAACCCGTTGTTCGATGAGGGGGTATCATCTGCGAGCATCGCCTGGTTGAGCAGTCTTGACCTCGAAATCCACCTCGTAGGTGAATGTGTTTTAGTGGTACATATCTCTGCATTCACTCCAGAATCTCTCCAGCTAGTGGTTGCAAACCTCCAGTGTCACGAACCATAGCTGACCTAGCGTGCCCACCTCTTCACAAACCTTGGACACAAGGGGGGACGGCCGCGAGCGAGCCTCCTAGTAATTTGAGTAACTTATGTCAGGTTTGTGAAGCTAGATTACCAACTTGTTGGGAAACCAGCTGGGATGGAAGAAGCCATTGATCCAAACATTTCTAACTAGGTGACAGTGCTTCCACAAACCCTTGGAAATTCTTGGACCGGCCACCATTGTGTAATTTAGTCCAGCACCTACTATCATTTCTTGAGCCAACTTGATGAAACACGCTGATTCTTGAGCGTTTGGCATGGGCTTGTGCTAGCTGCCGTGGCAAACTCGTTCTACAACTCGCCCACAAAGCTGTTGCTCGCACCAGGATCGTCCATCGCCGCTAGCGATCGCCACAGCCCCAGCGTCTTAACCTCCTCGTCCACGCCTACGTGCAACGCGGCTGCCTGGGCGATGCTGCTACCGGCCACGGCCCACTCTCTTCACCTAGAACATCTTTCTTTCGCAATGGCCCAATGAAGGTGCTCCACGCCATGCCGTGCAGAGACGCCGTGCCCTGGAACAACATTACTACCGCATATGCCAGCACCGGCACTTGCAAGACGCTCGGCTACTCATGGTGGAGCGTTGTCTGTTTGAGCTACCTCGTCACGGAGTGTGCCCAAGTTGGTGATCTTGATGCCGTTCCATTCTACTTCCATTTGATGCCAACTAGCAACGAGGCATTCAAGCGACTGCCCAGAATGGACATCCAAAAGAAATGAAGTACGTGTTTGACAAGATCCCTTTCTGGAGCATTGCAACGTATTATGCGCAGCAAAGAAAAGTAGCGGAGGCAACTAGAGTCTTTCTTACAATGCCCTGTGATGGAGCGCTATGCTGGCAGCTTATCTATGCCCAGTATGGGCATGAAGTGTTGCTTTGACAAAATGCCCGTTGGGGCTTGGAACTCTATGATTCTACTTAACTTGGCCTTCCCGCCTGGGACTTTATCTCCTTGTTTCGAGCGATGTAACCAAAACGGCCACCTGGATCACGCTACGGAGCTCTTTCTTTCCATGCCGAAGCGTAGCATTGTCACATAAACCTCCATGATCGATGTGCATGGTCAGGGAGGCTATCTCGAGCCCGCCATGGAAAATCTTAACACGATGCCATGCCGCGACGTGGTTGCCTGGAACGCACTGATAGCAGCAAATGTTCTGAATGGTCATTTGCATGGTGCTTGTTTGAATCTCTCCCAAAGAGGAACATCGTTTCATGGAATGCTATGATCCAAGCTTATGCCCGTTCAGAGCTTACCACGAGATGCTTCTCTGCGGCGTGATGCCTGATGAGGCATCGTTTAAGAGCGTCATGGCGGCGTGCAGCTACGTCGGGATGCTTCTTGCCACACATTGCATGCCCCGATAAGTGATTTTGGCGTAGCTCCGGCCAAAGACCACTTCAACTGCGTTGCAGACATGCTAGAGAGGACCGGGCAGCAGTAGTTTGTCCATAGCATGGTAGTGCCACCTCTTGAAAAGGCCACGGGCGTGGAGTGCATTGCTGGGAAACTGCAAGCTCGAGCAGGATGCTGACTGAGCAGCTCGAGTGACTGAGTACACTCTGGATTGATGGATTTAATATTAATATTAATTTGTTTATTTTTCATTTTACTAATACTTAGAATCTTTACTAATTATAATTAATATTAATAAAGGGATTTAAGTAAATAATATTAAATTATTTTAAATGAATCTAAACTAATTTATGGATTCCTAAAGACACGATAGCACTTCTTGCCCCAAATTGTCATTCCTAAAAGGCCAACTGTTCACCAACATTGATTATATAGCTGAAGCAGGGATTTATAATATTGTACTAACTTATGTATAATAAATAAAACTATGTTCTATATAAGTTTTGTATACTAAAACACTTTTAAAAAAAATAAAAATGTATATAGTTTTCATACCCAATATTCTTACCTCCTTCTACAATTAGTATTGTTACAGCCATAATTATGTCTAGGAAGGATCCACTAGTAGCAAATTTAGGGAGGCTTATGTTTTACCCATGGTAATATAATAAAAACTTTTGGTTACCATCTATAGATCTTACTAACTCAAAGGATAACATTAAGTTAAGATCATACAAACAATACACATTAAAATCCAGCTAATGAGCACAAGAGAAAGTTCATATAATACAGTATAAAATGGTACAAGATAGTACAGCATGATATATTATAATCACCCATTTCACTGGCAAAAAGGAGGATGTAGACAGGTTTCTCCAACAACACCACTTGATCTTCTTAATAGCATATAAGACCTTGAAACTTCAATCATGAAGACAGACTCGATTGTCTTTGGCCTTTTGCAATGTGCCCAAGCCCAATAGTTTTTTGCCTGTCTCATGGAAAATATACTCTCCAAATATAAGAATTTTAGAGGGGAAAGCGCAATGTTTTCCAATAGGCTAGGGTTCCAGACAAATTTTAGAATATATACGAGGCTTGTATTATATTCGATCGGTATCTTTTTTAGGGTTCTTCCGCAAAGGGGAGATGGATAAGTCGCAGGGAGGGATCCAGCAGCTGCTGGCGGCGGAACAGGAGGCGCAGAGCATCGTCGCCAATGCCAGGAGCGGTAAGTTCTCTTTGCGATTCGCGGCCGAATCCAATCGCTGCTCGATCCAATTTCAATGATTTCTTCTCTTTGGTGGGATCGCAGCCAAGATGGCCCGCTTGCGCCAGGCCAAGGAGGAAGCCGACAGAGAAGTCGCGGCTTACAGAGCTCAGCGAGAGAGCGAGTACCGGAAGAAACTCGCAGAGGTGAGAGTTTCCTTGTCTCGATTCCTCCAATTAATTTTTCCAGTGGATTTGATCGAGCAGAGCAGCGGCGACTCTGGATCCACTGCCAAGAAGCTGGAAGCCGACACCACGCACAAGATAAAAACGCTCTCGTCGGAGGCATCCAGAGTGTCTCAAGAGGTGATTTTGCATATCTTTGCGATTGGAGTTTTGATCGAGCGTTTCGTTTTTTGTGTAGATCACTTCTCTCTTGATCAAGTACGTGACAACAGTGAAGAACTGAGGAGAAACTTGGGAGATTTATTTTTCACCGCAATAAGTCTGGAAAATCGAGAGAAGCTAAGTTCTTTTTTATATACTCTGAAATATCATAAAACCTTAGACCGAGGAAGAAAAAGAGGAACTCCCTTACACTCGAAAGCCTTGAATATGTATTCTATCGACTGGAAGAACTTTCGCGCTAGTTGTGTCAAATCGAAGTTGATAGTATCACCAGGATCAGGAGCGGAGCTACAAACGCAGTGATCGAGCTGGCTCTTGCGAAGTTAGTTCCTGAAACGTTTTGAGAAATGAAACGAGAATCAAAAGAACAGATCAGTCGTACCAGACGTGAGGGGAGCCGCGGATTGTGGGATTTTTGGGAAGGAAATGTTTGGCCCTGTAGAAACAAGAGGGATGAGCTTTGAGTAGTAAAAGGGAAGTGGCTTACTTCCTCCAGAGCACAGGGAACTCGAAGACATTGGCATCCATGGAGCAGCGATGTTGTCATTCAAGTCGCAAGTGAAGGTGATGCCGGAGCTACTCGTGATCATCACATCAGACGGCAAGCTATTTAGCAAGCACCCTACAAAAACACAACACTTTTAAGACCAGCAGCACAAAGCTAGTGAGCATCAAACACAAACCTTGATCTCCAGCACCTACAAGAGAAGAACAAAACCTTTGTTTTAGATGCCAAGCGAAACACAAAGGAGAAGCTTGCGGTACCTTGAAGGCTGAAATCTTTGAGATAGATGCCGCATAGATCGTAAATATTGCTTGTAACACCCCGCTTTTGCAGCATCGAGCCGAGTAAACTCACACACTCTAGCGCTTGCAAGTTCGTGATCAGCTTCTGCTGCTGCATTTCGGAGATGTATCTGTGCAGCGAGCTGCAACAGGTAACGTTGGATGGCGAGAGTCCATGGCAATCATCGACTACTGCAGATACGTCGCTAAAAACCAAAGGACACGCTGAAAAGAACAAAAGCTTAGGAAAACTTCTATCCAGAATAGAAAGAATCAGTCTCACCTTTGTTAACCTTACAGCTGAATAGATTCCGGAGTGCCGTGTTAGACTCGGTTAGATTGAGCTGACCAGCGACCCAAGCAAGAACAACGTCCTTGCAGTCTTCCAACACTTGATCATCCGCCGAGGCTGGAACAAGTCCGCTCTGTTTCACGAATCCAAATGAGCCATTCGAGGCGAGCTGTAACGCGGCCTCTTCGAGCGCTGGCTGGCAAACCGGCTTGCAGCATTCTTTCAGGGGGTCCACTCCTTTGCAGGCCGGGAGAAGCCTAGAAGTGTTGACAAGCCTGTAGAGCTCCTTTGTCTCGTACACCGGACACTGCCCTCCTGTCAAGCTTTTCGGCTCCATGGAACATATCTCCGATACGGTGGTGTTGGCTCCTTTGCTCACCAGCAGGCTGCTAATGTCGGAGAAACAGTAGCTTGCTTCAGTACGATTGAAAGTGAGCCGACCGGACGTGTTAATGTGATGCCCTTGAGCTAGACGAAAGAGTGTCTGCAACTGTGGGCAGCAGATAACCTCGCCCACGTACAATGCCAAGGGAGCGAGACAATCTTGTGCTGTTCGATCGATTGCTGGAGTTAGAGCCGAGAAGTTGAGCTTACAGTGTCCTAGACAAGAAGAAAACATTATTTAGTTCGATTAGTCGAAAACAACAAAAAGGAGACAAACACCAACTTGGAGAACACTCAAGCCAGCATTTGAATGAGACTGAGACGCAAGCAAAGAAGTATAATATCCATGCAGACACACTGAACGAGGCAAATTCAAAGAAATCCAACTTACACTCTAGCATGGAAGACAACAAGCATTGTATGCTTATGCGAAAGGAAAAGAGAGGCACACTTACCTGATAGCTTTGGCGAGGATGGATTGGGCAGAACTGGAATCATAGGCGATGGCGAGACAATGGGGATCGCTCCAGGCGCGCTCGGCGACACAGGCAGGAAGAAGGGCGGCTGCGCGCCTACAACCGCGGGAATCGACAGATTCCCATCGAATGCTGGTAGCGCCTCCTCGGCCTTGAGATCTCCAAAACCTACAAGCCCTGGCCACGGCCAAGCACTAGATGAGCAAGCGCTCGCAATGCTGGTGGATTACCGCCCGAAATTCGGCAAGACTTACAGAGCAAGACGATGGCAAGGATCCGTGCCGCCATTGCGAGCTCCCGGATCGAAATCTCCGAAAGAATGCTCACATTCTCAAGGCGCCGTCCGTCGCCCACCTCCTCGTCGCGGCGCCATAGCCGGGCTAAGACCTAGGTCACGCACCAAGGCGAGAGAATCTTCCTCTCTCATTCCCTCTTTGCTCTCTTTCGCTGGTGTTGCGCTCCACCCAGTAGTGATTCCACCTTCCCCCATTTAATTGCCCGTCGCCATCCGGCCGTCAGAGGATTTGAATCGCGCGGCCCAGAATTTGCCACATCATTCCGTTTTTTATATTATTTCTTGGACAAGGGTTAAAAGTGAGAATTCCAAATATGTACACTTTCATACGGTTGGAATGTTTTCGACAGTACGCGCACAATTCTCAAATAGGAATTTCAAGCTCGAAGTATAAACTTGGAAAAATATATATTTATTTTTCTAATTCTCCATTATTTTTTTACCAAAAATCCAGAAATACTGTCCTGGATCATTTGATTCCCGACTCTCGGTGTACTACTGTTCCGATGTCACAAAACATGTAAAAATTATTTGCTCGGGCTAGCGAAAAAATTGTAAACTTTTGTAAAGAGTAATAAAAATGAAATAAAGTGAATTAAAATGCTTAAAATTTGGAACTTTAACATGTTTTAAGGAAATAGAATAGCCTACCATAGTATGCCTCAAAGCAATCAAACCTCCGAAAAGCCCCGAGAATGCAAAATAGACATTCTAGCGCTTGGAGTTTTTTTATGTATGGACAGACAATCGACACAGGAAGGGAGGAATATCCCATCGCTTTCGCACGGTTCTCCAGTTAGAGAATGTTCTTCCCGTACCTCGATGGCTGGAAAACCGAAAACGATCTCCTCGTTTGTTTGCTTATCTAACAGAAGAAAAGATTCCTGCTATAAAACGGAACATACCCCATCTCCAAATCTCCTTTTTTGGTCGAGGAAGAACTCTCACAAGCGAGCGAGTCGCTGGCGACATTACTTACATCCAATTCACTCAATCAATTCGAGCGCCAGAGCCTCCAGCTCCCAGTTACAATCTGGAGTTGGACGGAAAAGCCGGGAATTATTTGTCTGCCGAAACCATAGCAGTTATATACCCTTGGAAGTCGGGGATCTCGGTGTCTATCTGCGCAATCGATCGATAGGTTAAAGTACAAGTTGTATGAATTGGACAGAGACAACGCTCTCAAAGTCTTCTATGTCTTAAATATTTGCTGGTTTTTCTTTCCATTTTCTTTTTTGATTTATAGAAAAAATTCAAGAAAGCTGTAAACATAAAGCTCAAAAAAAATTAATAAAAATAAAAAATTAAAACTAAAAAACTGTGGAAACAAAGCCGGCACAGCCGCCGACAAGGCACACACAAATGCCGCAAGCGACTCGCGACCTGCCACGTCAGCTCGATTTTAGGGTCCTGCCTTGCTGGCGCTTCTTTAAACTTTGAACGTATAATCTCTCTCACTCTCTCACTCGCTGGTGTCCATCCCTTCATTTGTTTCACTCGTTTTCCATATTGCCCGCCAATGCCATCGTTGAAGAACACAAGAATGACATGCCAGCCAAGAGATCCGCCGTATTTCTTGATTGGCATATCACCTTAAGCCCTAATCCGTACGGGGGGCTTGTCAATAGATGGAGCGAATGCTGCTCGATTCAATGTCTCTCCAAGACAAAGTTGACCATTCAAACCCCCCCGCTAAACCCTAGCGTAAACCCGCATATTCGTTCTGTTATTCGCGGGCTCGTCACGTAGTGGTGAGTGTTACTGCTGCTAGCGGCCAAATGGAAATCTAGTTCCGCCCATGGATCGATCGATGGAGACCCCGGATGCCACTGGAATATGGAATATCCGCCGTGACGGGCGCCCGTCACCGCCCCGCGGCCGGAAAACTGACATATGGCCTCACTGACGCAGCATGGACTTTCGCGGCCACGTCACGGTCACATAGCACAAGAACAAGGCCGCCTCTTTTTTGTGGCGCAAAGAAGCTTCTTTAAGCGATGCTGACCATGAGCAGAGATCTTCCACGTGGTGCCACCGGCGGTACGCCAGCTGTCGGGGTGGCGCTGCCACGCTGGCAGGAACCGCTGACGTCGGCGTGACCGCTTGCGTAACGTAACTTCCACGTGGGGTCCTGGACACGCGTCGGGCGGTCACTGGCTGTCGGCTTAAACCCTCTTAAAGAGGTGATAAACCCTCCTGGAAGGAAGGCCCTTTTTTTTCCCACCCACCACCAACCTAGGTTTTCCCCTCTCTCCCTCTCTCCGCTCTCATCTCTCTTCTCTCTCTCTTTTCCCATTTTGCCCTCTTTGTGCTGCTTTGCGCGTCTTGGGGCGCTCTCTCCTTCTCTTTGCGTGATCGATCGTCTCATCTTTGCGCGGCCGAGCTCTTGCGTGATTAGGGATATTTTCCGGATCCTCCATCCGGATCGATCGATATGCGGCAGCTCCGGCAGCAGTATGCTCGCGATTCGTGGAGCCGCGGCGGGATTGCGGCACTGCCGGAGAGAATTCGGGTGCTGTGAGGCGAATCCCAGCGGCATTTGGTCGAGAATTCGCCCGGGCAGGCGTCGGCCGTGGCCGTGGTCGCGGATCTTGGCCAGGCTGCATTGCCGCGCGGAGAATTTCGGCGCTGTCGGCCGGATTATCGTCCAAGAAGGCGCTGTGCCGCGCCGGCGCGGTGGTTACCGGGCGGCCTTCACAGGTGCTGCTGCTTGCTTTGTCGGCGAAATCTCTCGTGAGGCGCGCCTTGTTGCGGATCGTTCTTGCAAGAAGATCACGGAAGGGGAGGAGGCGAGGAGGAAGAAAAAGAGGAGAAAAAAGTATTTCTTCTTTGTGGCCGGCTCACATGTGGTTGCGTGCTGGCTGCTGGTGGCATTCAACGCAGACTTGGAATATTTTAGGTTTGTGAAGCTTCGGCCATCGGCAGGACGGATCTCCAATCCCAATCCAGACGAGAGGGACCGCTTTCGTTGTTCCCGAGCCACCACAGTGCCACTTCCGCCAGTTTTTTTTTCTCCTCCTCGTCAATCAGATCCGTCGCCGCGGTGAGCAACGCCAGCCAGCAGCCATCGACGCTACAAAACAAGAGAATCGATCGTCAACCACTGGTGTTTCCTTCGTCGCCTCGCCTCGAGCAGCTCCCACACAGCACCGGATATATCATTTTTTTATCCTTCGAGATCATCGGCTCCATGGTCACCAAGACGAAGACTAGGAGGCCCAGGAGATCCGCGATGTGATCAGGTGCCAGACGAGGATTGGAGGGCGCGCTCGGGAAGAGTCTTAAATTCCGATCCAAGGTGGCTGGCCGCGGTGGTAGCAGCAGGAGAAGATCAAGCAGCGCTTCATCTTCGTCGCCATCCACCACCGCCATGGCATCGTCCTCGAGCTCCCCGTGTGCCGCCTGCAAGTTCCTGCGGCGAAAGTGTACGCCCGAGTGCGTCTTCGCGCCGTACTTCCCGCCGGACCAGCCCCACAAGTTCGCAAACGTGCACAAGATCTTTGGAGCCAGCAACATCACCAAGCTGCTCAACGAGCTCCCCCCACACCAGCGCGAGGACGCGGTCAACTCGCTCGCCTACGAGGCCGACGCCCGCGTCAAGGATCCCGTCTACGGCTGCGTCGGCGCAATCTCCATGCTCCAGCGCCAAGTAGCGCGCTTGCAGCACGAGCTGGCCATCGCCCAGCAGGATCTCGCGAGGTACACAAGCGCATCAGTGCCGATGGTGGCCGTGGCGGCGGCGGCGGCGCAGCAGCAGCATCAACATCCACATCCACAACACCCACATCCGCACCAGCAACAACACCAGCAATCGCCGCAAGCTCATCCACCGCAGGCCGGGGCGGCCCATCTGGGAATTGGGCAGCAGCAGCAGCACGAGCAGCAGATGTTCACGAGGGACCAGCTGCTGGAGATCGCGAGGGAGCAGCACCTGACGCGGGAGCAAGTGATGGACATCGCGAGAATCGGTGGGGGGTCGTATGAGGCGGGGCTGGCGGTGCTGGGATTGAGCCCGCTGGGGCCGTTTGCGGCGTCGTCCACGCGCGGGTCGGGGAGCGAGAGCGGAGCCAGCGGCGGCGGCAGCAGCGGCGGAGGTAGTGTCGTCGGGCATTCATGATCTTGATTTTGGTATGCTGCATTTTTTTGGTTTCTTCTCGTTTTTCCTTTTTTTCTTTTTTTCTTTTTTTTTTTTTTCTTGTGAAATTTGTTGTTTGGGGAATCGGTTTGGTTGGCTTGGTCGTTGTGTTTCGGTGTTGGTGTTCCAGTCTTCCAGATGATCAGTTTTGCTTGTTTTCTGGGCGACGTTTTTTTGTTTTGGTGCTGTGCGGCTTTGCTTTTCCTTGAGGAGTGGCTTATATTTCCTCCTCCGCCGCAGCAGCATCCTGCAGTATCCATGGGTACTGTCTCCCCAACATGATTGTCCTAAATGTCTAGTTTTCTAGTGCACCAGAAAAACTTGGTACTTGATCGAGGAAAAAATGACTTCTTGAATGCTGTTTGTGTTGCAGGCTTTTATCACTAGGAGAGAGATACATGCTGCTGCTCAGGAACTGGGGAGGGGGGTCCCGGCTTTTGTTTTGAGTCAGGTTGGAGGCAAGCCATTCACTTCGGGATCCAGGGCCGTGCCTTCGCACAGGGGTCGGGGTCGGGTGTTTATCCAGTTGGTGCATCGTTTTGGCCGGAAGGGGAGTTGGGGGCATTTTGTACGAGGGAGCGGTGTGGAACAAGGCAAACTTTTAAGCGCACGGCATCGAAAGTTGATGAGGATGGCGTTTGATCAGTTGACAACAGAGATGGAAAGGGAGAGCTTCTCTCTTGGGCTCTCGTCTCAGCTCGCAGCAGCAAGCCAAAAGCTACCACCGGAGATCTCTATTGCCCATCGTTCCGATACTCCACAAGTGAGAGCTCAGTGTAGCAGCAGCAGCAGCAGCAAGCGCAGTGACTCACAGGCAAGCGCAGAAGGCAGCTTTTTTGATCCAAAGCATACAAACAATTCACACTCACTACATAACACTTCCACTTTGGGTCTACGGACATGGCGAGATTGAACGTGAAAGAGACCACACCGTAGGTACGCCTCGTCTTCATTTTCTTGCGTCCTCGAGAGAGAGAAGGGGGCTAATTCTCGCAATTTGTCGCCGTTTCTTCATTCACAGCTTCCCCCATTCGGAATCGGTTTATAAAAGCCGCCTCTCGGGAGAGGCGAAGCGGTCACAGAGGGGAAGGCAAAAAAGTATATACACAGGAGAGGTGATGGAAGGATCATCACTTCATCATCACTTCACTTTGGTACTTTCTTACAAGAAAGAGCAGGAGGAGGGACACACAAAGTCCAAGAGAAGGCGAGAGAGAAAAGGTGGGCCTCTTCCTCTCTCTCTCTCTCGTTTCACTTACTACTAAGCAGCAGCAAACGCACCGTGCACGGGCTCAGCGGCAGTGTACCACGTGCAACAACACACACATACGCAGAGAGAAGCAGTGCGCAGGCTTTCTTGTGCTTGGAGGAGATGAGAGGCCTCTACCACGGAAGCAGTCCAGTCCAGCCCAGCCAAGCCCAGGCCAGGCCAGGCCAGGCCAGAGGATGAGAAAGCGAAGAAATGGATAGAAAAACAGGGAGGAGGAGGAAGAAGAGGCAAGTGCCTTTAAAAGTCCATCACAGACAGCTTGGAGATTGGTGAAACAGTGGGTGGCGAAGCGCTTTGAGTGGAACGAGGAGAACTGAGGTGGTGGTGGTGGTGGGAAGTGGAAGGAAGGGCTCTCTCTCTGGATGGACTGTGGATGTCTGGAGCTACTTTTCTTTTTTTTCTTACAACACTGGCGGGCGAGGCGATTCCTACATTTTTTTTTTTCTTCTCTTCTTCTTCTTTCTTCTTTTGGGTTTTGGGGTTTGGGAGAGGGAGCGAGATGATCGATGGAGATTAGATTAGAGAGGCAAGAGAGAGGCAAACGAGCGAACGCTTATATTCATTCTACCAAAGCTGCTACAAAGAAGAGGTTTAGAGACTCCTTTTTCCTTCTCCCTCTTTATTAATTAGTTTCTTTGGCAGAGGCTGGAAAGGGAGCGTTTGGACATGACGACGATGACGTAGAGCTCCGATCGCGTAAATGTGATTGAATTGGATACACATACGTAGACAGCGAGCTCCTTTTTCGCGTTTGCATCGTTGCCATGCAAACGCAAATCACTTTCGCGCTTGGAAAAGATCCCCCCTTGAAAGTAAGAGAGAGAGAGAGAGAGAGAGAGAGAGAGAGGGAGAGGGAGAGGGAGAGAGAGAGAGAGGAGAGCTCCCCTTAGCCGCGATTTTCAAAGCCGCATATAAATAAAAACGTGGATGTCAAAGGGATGCAAACGTCGTGTGCACCAATCAAGGCGGCACTGCTGCTTGCTTTGCTGGAAGTAAAGACATGGCGAGACGACGAGCGAGTAAATATCCATCAAGGCAAGTTTTTAAGTACCTCTGTATGTGCTTGTTTGCTGGCTCCATCCATGGGTACCGAGTGTTGCAAGTTATATCTTTTGATGGATGGACGATCCATCTTTATCTTCGCTTTGACGCCTTGTTCTTACAAACGTGACCTGTCACAAACCAAACCCAACCAAACACCAAATCTCTCTCCCCCTCTCTTTTTCTCCCTCCCTCCAAACTTCTCCGACAAACAAAAACTTTCTCTCGGCTTGTCCCTGCCGTGGAAGTATAAGTAGGGAAAACGAAACATACTCGAGAAATCAGTCCCAAACCATACTTCTGTCACTCACTCTCACGAAAGCCAGCCACAGCAAAGCCAGCCAGCATTTCACTATCCAAAAGTACCTCCTTGTTTAAGTGTTGGTATTGCACAAGGGGGGGTCAATGATCGCGCTCCATGCATTGCTCCGATGGGGGCATCATCCTCTTCTGGCTGCTACTGCCCTCTGCAAATGCGCAGGCACCAAAAGTGTAAGTGAGAATGGATCACCAAAGAGTATCACATGCAAGCAACGCATTCACCTAATTCGCAATCACGTAATAAAAAGGAGGAGAGTGTGGCAATTACCTCCATCCCGTTCACGAGCTTTGATTTCCCGTGCCTCTTGAACGAGCGCGCAGCAGAAGCACAAGAAATGTGCCCAGCAATCGTCACAGGACCCGCCCTGTCATCCACGCGATCAGGAGAAAATAAAACAATCAAATAAGTGGATCTGTACCTCGATGTTGTACAGCTTGCGTAGTTTACGCCGGAAGCAACAGGTGTAGAAGCAGCAGCTAAGCACCATCGTGTAAATCAAACAGTTTGTGCAAGCAGCATGCTTGGCTGAGGCCCCACATAGAAAGGAAAAAAAAACGTAAGTGAGAATCAGCATGGCTTGATGAAAAGCTTACTCACGCATTATTCCATTAGTGGCAGTCGCCGCGACTGTAGCAAATGTGCAGCAAGGGCACAAGAATGTCCCCACGCCTGTAGCACACGCAAGCCACTTTACGTTAATACACATAATTTAGTTGGCTTACACAGCAGGGGGCTCCCACAGCATCCATAAAGATCATGATGCCAATCTTGTAGTTGCCAGGATTTAGAAGCCGTTTCACTGTTCACACGAAGATTAGAATCACAAAGTCGGAATCATCTGATGGAAGCCAGCTTACTTGGATTTGTGGCTCTCCTGATAGGTGTATGCGTCGGAGTTGGACTGCTCGTAATTGGATTGCTCGTACTTCTTGGCTTCTTTCATATAATCGGGATCCTTCTCGTAGGTACCCTTCACGTCAGTCTCGGTGATGTCAATAAGACGGCGGATCACGTCGCACTGGTCTTCCTCCATGAGCGACTGCATCTTCTGGAGCTCTTTCTTGAGCTTTTTGTTTTCTTTCCGGAGAGCTTCCTCGAGAGCAAGCCCCGGGTAGTTCCGAGAGAGGTTCCTCCGCAGCTCCCTCGACTCGTTGACGCTTAAGTCAGGTTTTAAAACTGTTTCCTGGAGCCGGAGCTCGTCTTCGTCCAGAGTGTACTCTTTCTGGTCTCGTTGTATCTCACGGAGCTCTCGCTTGGCCTGTAAAACAAACCGAAATAGTGAGAAAGATGGACGACCGAACAAACAAACCAAAGAGCAAAACAAAAAAATAAGAAAAAGAAAGAAAGATCACGCTGCCAGCGTACCCGATTGTTATCTACGAGACTGATGAGAGGAATAATCTGGAGAAGTCGGTCGATCTCGGCCTGGCGTAGCTTGAACTGGTTAACGATGTTCCATCCCATCGCCAAGAGGTAGAGGTAGCTCTTGTTCTTGCAGCTGTTGACGAGGATGTAAGCCTTCCTGAGAGCCTCCTCTAGACGCTCGAGAGGCTCGCTAGTCTCTGGATGCTCCCTGAGCTCCGATAGCCTCAGCTTCTCCAGCAAATTCCCAATGAGCTTCAAGTGCTGCGCGAAATTCCGGCAGTTCTTCTTGTGCATGCGCGCGTTCTTGGCCGCGGCCGCAACAGCCGCTATGAGCTTGAGAGAATCAAGGCCAGCAATCTGGGCAACGGTCGCCACGTCCCCCACCGGGAAAACCATCTCGTCCGCCAAGAATTTCCCTGCTCTATGCCCTGTCCGCTAGCTACATTCCACCGATTCCAGCCCAGCGCCTGTAGAATCGCTGGGATTCCATCCAGCGCCTGCCTCGGAGCTCAATCGTGCGAGCTCTCGACGATCTGGACAACCCTAGGCGCGCCACAGCGAAATTTCCAGCCGGAGCTCCTGCCGGCCGGAATTTTCTACCAGGAATTCGTGAAATGCGAGCATACCGGCGTTAGTGAGCTCCCAGCGCCGCATCGCTGCTCGAATCGTCGCTATCGTCCGCCATCGCCAAAGCACGCACGCGCGCACAAGAGAGAGAGAGAGAGAAGAGAGAGACGGAGGAGCGCACGAGAAAATAATAAGGTTTTTATTCTTCCCGACACAACACATCCAACCGTAAGAAATTTATCAACGCGGTAAATCTCCACCGTTGGGTAGCACCACGTAGTGGAAAAAAAGTTACAGCTGCCAAACTTGTGATCGAACGGCTGGGGACGCGGGACCGTCCAGTACGAGACGCCAGACAATCGGACGGCTGCCATCCGGCCACTTCCTCGTGATTGATCAGCTTTTTACGTGTCTGGCTGCAATTAAACAAAAGATGCTGGAACGATTAAAATATACTTACAAATGTACACCAATTCAATACAATATGGTGATTATGGTGTTACATTTTTATATAAAAAGGAAATAAAGATAAAGTTCCAACTAAATATTTTTTTTTTGCAGTTTTTTATTTTTTAGGAATAAAAATAAAAAATGTAACTTATAATTAAATGTATGACCATTGTTATGACTAAGATAATTATATTGTGTGTTTAAAAGGAACATTATAAATAAAATAATATTAAAAGAGGATGCAACTTACAAATAATGCATTGACATTTTTGTTATATTAATGCAACTTATAAGTAATACACATAAAAGTAAATGTTTCTAAATTTTTATTAAAAATAAAAAATATATAACATTAAAATTGCATATTATAATTCAGATTTATTCATGCATAAAGAAAATTTAAGCAACTTTAAATCATTTCATTATATGTTGTATCTTAGACACGTTTAGAAAAACAAGAGTTTTAGAATGTGCATAATTATAAAATACAAAAACATTTATAAAACCTTTGTGTTTCAATGGTGTTAATTATTCATCTTTAGTAAAAAAAATTATAACAAAACTCATAAATATTTTTAAAAACATAATTTTCTATTGTTGGTGATAATTAAGAATTTAAATAATATACTGCTATATTCATTTGATTAAAAATCTAGATTTTATATATTATTTGCATATCTAAAAATAAATCAATTTAGAAAATGTTATAGACCACCTTATTGTATAATAAAAGTTTACCTCACTTCTTACAACAAATATTACACCTTTAATTTCTCTATCATTATAACTTAAAAATTGAATAATAGTTTTAGCTTTTATATATATATATATATATATTAATAGTTATATTTATTTACAGTTTTTAAATATTACTATATTAACATATGTTGTCTGTGTCATTAAAACCTTTTTATTCAAGAATTTTGGTCATTTTTTTTATAACTAAATTTGCAAAAATGACAATATGCTAAAGGTTAAATTAGTGCGATACAAAAATTTTATTCAAATTAAAAATTATTGAACCACTACTAATAAAATCGTTTCTCTTGAGAAATGCAAAAACTTAAAATTGTATAATTTCATATAAAAGAAGTCAGTCTCAATATTTGTTGTGTAAACAAATGTATAATTATTGGAAAATACATATGTTGAATTGGAAAAATAAAAATCTAAGACATATACATACAATCTTCTGAATATCACTACAAACTTTTTTGAATGGATCCATTTCCTTCCAATATGTGGATGATCCCATTGATTACTTTCCAGCTGAATCCTCTTCGCTGGAGCCACCCTGCTAACCTCCGACTCCGAGCTTGCACCGAGATATTGCCTCCGCTACTCCACTTCCGAGCAGAGAGAGCAAAGATGTGCTCCTGGGCTTGTTTTGACATTCCCCACTGCATGTCATCGTCGTCCTGTACAATGTTTCCATCCCCGTCCGCTTTGAACACTTTCTGCAGCGCCCGATCGATGTTGGCGGTGTCAACACCCTTGCGGACGAGCTCCTGACCGCGACAGACAAGGGAAAGCTTGAGAAGAAAACATGACAAATACTTACGTGTTTTATCCGTTTTGGACCCCAGCCTCTCGTGTTCCACCTCGACTGTGCAAAAACTTCTGCGAAAGAAGTGTCGCTCTGCAATCCTCTGCTTAAAAGAAGAGTCCATGAGCAACGAAATGGACACCGAGATAAAACCAGCTTACTCTTCTCGCAGTGCAGCGATTGTGCTCTCCGTTACTTGGACAGAGTAGTTCTTCTCACTCAGTTTCTTCCGGAGCTCCGCAGCGGTTCTTTGCCTGAATGCGAAAAAATGATGCTACGATGGAAAGAGAAATGAAAAAACAAGGAGAAGAGAGAGCATACCATTTACTCAGCAGAAAAACGGCATAGTTCTTCGCAGCCGTTCTCTCTCCACCGCTGTCTGGAAAGCTTGGCAACTCTGTCTTTCGCGTCTGGACTTCAAGGGCGAACAACGCATCCTCCTCTTCTTCATCGTCAAACTCCTCTGGTTCATCATCTTCCATGCTTCTGGGATTTAAATTGAGCTGCGATGCTGGAAGTAAACGCATTGCTGGACACTGTGAAGGAATGCCGTCGTCACTCGTAGCGGCTTTAGAATCCAAAACCGCAGTGGAAGGTCCCGGTCTTGGCCTTGAAACGAGCCGTGATGCTGGAACTAGTTGCAAGCTTGAAAGAACCTCTTTTCTTATCGAAGTTTTCACCTCCTTTGTTCTTGGTGGCTGCTCCTTAGTAATTCGATGCAAGCTTGGAAGTCTTTCTTGTTGCCCGGAAGTCTCTTCCTCTCTATCGCTGCTAGATTCTTCTGTAGAAATCGTCTCGTTGCTAGACACCGCATCGTTTCTTTCATTCCCTTCTTCAAACTCTTCCAGCTCTATAGCATTCCTTCTAAAGGATGCTAACCCGAGCTCGCTACGCTGCTTCTCCGTGTCATCAAAATAGAACCGGGCACCCTTCCTCTTCTTCTTCCCAGCCTGTGAATCACTGTCAAAGTATCCACTCCCAAATTCCTCTTCTTCACCATCGTCTTCACCGCTAGAAATCGTCCGGGGAAAGTGAACGTTCTCGAGGATTTCCCCGTCGTGTTTTCTAGCTAGCTTGGGGATGTAACGCACCAGGGAGGGTATCTGAGAGGGTTTCTTGCCGCTAGAGCTCGCTCTCGCCGTGCCGAGAGACCTCCATTTTCCTAGAACTAGAAATCAGTGAATCGAAACCATCGCATCGGCTGGAATTCCAATACCTCGACCGCAATGCCGGCTTCCAAGCGCGTACCAGCTGCCGATCGGCTTGAGCGCCATCGCGCTCCTTCCGCCCTAAAACCCTAAATATTCGCTGGAATCTCTGGTGGGGCTCGAACCCACGACGCGTCTATTTCTCCACCGACCACAAATGCAAAATTAGGGTTAGGGCTCTTCGTTTCTTTCCTCTCTCTCGCGCCCAGGCGACGATCAGGGTATCGTATCTCGTCTCCTCTTGTTCGATAGCTTGATTGCGCTGCATTGCAACAGCATGCTGGCGGTGTAGCTCTGCTCGATCGATTGCTGGTGAGGCGCGCGATTGGGGTATTTCTTACCGGATCTTGGGGCTCCAGCGAGGTATTTTGTGGCTCTTTCCCCCTTGCATGCAGCGATTCTAGTGTCTAAGAGCGATCCTGGATTCCAGAATGGTGGCTCCGGTGGCATCGACGCCTGGTGTTCACTATGCCCCAGAAGACCCAACTCTCCCTCCTCCATGGAAGGCCCTGGTGGACGAAGAGACTGGATATCTCTACTACTGGAACACGCAGTCCAACGAGACGACGTATGTGAAGCCAGTCTCTTCCAGCGGTGCTCCAGGATTTTCCGTGAATGGTTCGACTTTTCAAGAGAGCTCGATGGCGAATGGTCACGTCAATGGAAGCAATGGTTCTCTGTACGGGAGTAAGGTTGCCGAGCAGCCAAAACTAGCAGCGCTTTCGATGTTTGGAGGACAGTCACAGGTAACACTTGCTCGTAGATAACTTTCTCTCGGATTTTTCATTGTTTTCTCTTCATGTCAGGTTGTAAATGGAGGCTCAAACGCTGCCTTGGTGCCGGGTGCGCTGGGTGGCTACAAGCGGAATGCTGACAATTTTGACTACAATGGTCGGGATGCCTACAAGCGCCCTCGGACTCAAACGACGGCATCACCGTTTGACGTCGATTCTTACAGGAGACAGCACGAGATAACCATCGTGGTATGTCTTTCATTAATACTTGGTATTTTGGTGTTGCAAGCTCATAACATCACCTTGGCCTTTCTGTTTCAGGGAACCAACGTTCCAGCACCGTTCATAACTTTCGAATCGGCAGGTCTTCCAGATGAAGTCTTAAGAGAGGTATGTGCATTTTGTCCTGCTGGTTTTGGTCCTTGCATGCATGCTGTCTTCTTTTCTGGATCTAGTGTATACATACTTTGCTTTTTAGAGGGCTAAAACTTACTACGTCCCTTATCCTTCGCAGATGCGATATTTGCTCCAGAATGGAGCATATGTCGTACGCTGTGCTGCTCTTCATGTGTACCAATGTTCTTTTGCCGGGTTTGGAGGATGACCCTTCGGAAGAAGGGACCAACCAGGCTGACACTGCATTCCTCTCACGCCGGTGCAAACTTAAGTACTGGATTCTGTGACAATATGCGGCATCAGTTAAGATGTTGCCTTACTTTTCTTGTTCTTTAGTTTTTCTGCTTGGGAGTAGTGCAAGTTTTAGAAGCTTTTGGAAACGTATTTATACTGTTCGTTTTTTAACAGGTTCAACTTGCCGGGTTTACGGCACCTACACCTATACAAGCCCAATCCTGGCCTATAGCTCTGAATGACCGTGACATTGTAGCTATTGCAAAGACGGGGTCTGGAAAAACGCTGGGGTACTTGCTGCCAGCATTTATGCACTTAGAGCGACGAAGGAACAACCCACGATCGGGCCCAACAGTACTCGTTCTCGCCCCAACGCGAGAATTAGCTACTCAAATACACGAGGAGGCTGTCAAGTTCGGGAGGTCCTCCAGGATTACGAGCACGGTAAGAATTTTTGTTATTTGTTTTGTTTATGATCTTTCTTTTATGTTTGCAGTGCGTTTATGGTGGTGCTTCCAAAGGCCCCCAGCTACGCGATATCGAACGGGGATGCGACATTGTTATCGCTACTCCAGGAAGGCTGAACGACTTTTTGGAAATGAGGAGGATCAGTTTGAGGCAGGTCTCCTACCTGGTCCTGGATGAAGCGGATCGCATGCTCGACATGGGATTCGAGCCCCAGATTCGCAAAATCGTGAATGAGGTGCCTGTTCAGAGACAAACGCTTATGTACACAGCGACGTGGCCGAAAGAAGTGAGAAAGATTGCTGGCGACTTGCTTATGAATCCCATCCAGGTGAACATTGGAAATACAGACGATCTAGCTGCAAACAAGGCTATCACTCAGGTCTCCATTTTTGTCTTTTGTTTTGTTTTGGTATTTGCGCTAACAATCGGTGCAGTGCGTAGAAGTTGTCTCGCCTCAAGACAAAGCGCGAAAGCTGGAGCTGATTCTTCGGACTCAAGAGCCTGGGTCCAAGATTATCATATTCTGCTCAACAAAGCGAATGTGTGATCAACTAGCTCGCTCACTGCGCAGAGATTTTGGTGCTGTGGCCATTCATGGTGACAAATCACAGGGCGAACGAGACTGGGTCCTTTCGCAGTTCAAAGCTGGAAAATCGCCTGTTCTTGTCGCTACCGATGTCGCAGCAAGAGGGCTAGATATCAAAGATATCAGGTAAGCGAAACAAAGCGAGACTTGTCTTTTTCTTTCTTTCCCTCTGCTGACCTTCGAGTTGTTTGTATTGCAGAGTTGTCATTAACTACGACTTTCCCACCGGTGTGGAGGACTACGTCCACCGCATTGGTCGGACCGGCCGAGCTGGTGCCACTGGCCTGGCTCACACTTTTTTTGCCGAGCAAGACGGGAAGTACGCTAGGGACTTGATCAAAGTCCTCGAGGGTGCGAACCAGAAAGTCCCACCGGAGTTGAGAGAGATGGCACTTCGAGGCGGTTTTGGAAAGCCTCGCCACAACCGCTGGGAGTCCGGCGGTGGCCGAGGAGGCGGAGGAGCCCCGGCCAACAGCTTCTATGGTAACAGGCGAGCAAGCTCTTGGGGTGGTGGCGCGGCTGCTGCTACTGCGCCACTTGCAAGGTTTCCTGTTGCCAACAACGGCGCTATCGGCTTCGAGAACGGGGACGTTTACAGGAGGGGCTATGGAGAGAGGATCTCTTCCGGGAAGCGGAGCTACAGCAGGAGCCGGAGCCGGAGTCCCAATGCTCGTCGGAGCCGCGGACGAAGCCGGTCTCCTCCTGGTGGAGCTCACGGGCGATTCCCGGAAGGCTATGGAGTCGCCAACGATGGTGGCTCCGGCTGGTAGGCGAGATCCATCTCTCCCACGATTCGATCGATTTTGTTCGCTCGTTGGTGGTTTCTAGCTAGCAGCAGGGACGCAAACGCAGCGGCTGATTTCTTTTGAGAACCAAAGAGAGTTACGAGAAAACGAGAGAAGAATAAGAGCGCGCCAAAAGTTTTGATTTGAAATTCGAATATTCGGATGGGATCTCTAGAAAATATCTTGTGTGCCCTTTTTGCCTTTGCGCCGCTATCCGGGGGTTTAGGGTTTAGGGTTCTTCGGAGGAAGATCAATGTTGGCTCCCAGGCGCGGATTGTGCGCATTCAGCAGCGGTGTGATCCGGAGAATCTCGAGCTACGGCGCGAGCGCTAGGTACGCAGCGGCAGCCCAGAATGCTGCAGCGGTGGAGGAAGCGGCGGCGGGCGTGAGCGAGGAAGAGGGATCTGCCGCCGCTGCTGCTGCTGCTGCTTCGATCGAGGAGGCCAAGCCCAAGAAGAAGAGGGCGCCGCGGAAGAAGGCCGAGAAGGTCGAGGAGGAGTCGCCCAAAAGCGAGGAGGCGAAGAGCACAAGCAAGAATGAAGAGAAGAAGAAGATCGAGGGGGAGAAAAAGAAGAAGGCTAGTGAGCCCGTGAAGAGCGATGACGCTGCTGCCCCAGCAAAGAAGAGTGGTGATTCCCCGCCGATGCTCAAGACGCTCAAGACGCTCAAGAGCATCATATCCAAATCCAGTGGCGACGTGGAGGTGCTCAAGAAGAAGCTGGCCGAGTACGAGGGGCCCTTCTCGGTGGCGGCGCTGGAGCGCGCCATGGCTGGATCCTCCGCCGAGTTTGCTCTGCCGCTCTTCCGCTGGGCCACAACCCGCCCGGAGTTTTGCGCCGAGAGCAAGGCCGTCCATCGGTTCGTCACGGTTCTTCGCAACGGCGAGAAGCTGGAGGAAGCTCGAGCGTTCATTGCCAACGAGCTCAGTGACCTCCCTGAGGTCCAGAGGATGGCCTACTCGGCGACTTACATCGGCTACATCAACTCCAAGAACAACGAGAAAGCTGACGAGGTCCTGGCCGAGATGACCGAGCGTGGATTCACTCCACACGGCTCGGCTCTCAACCGGCTGCTCCTCATGCGCTGGGACCGAGATGGAGTGGACGGGATGCTGGAGCTCCAGCGCGAGCACACCGCTCGAGGGTGGCTGCTCGACGCCGGAGGATACAACCAGCTGATTAACGGGCTGTGCCGGGCGGACAAGATGGACGAGGCGGTGGCGGAGCTCATGGAGAGCTTGGACAAGGGAGTTGTGCATCACGAAGGGACGTTCCAGGTGCTCATTCACGCTCTCCACTCCAGGGACCGCCTGGACGACGCTCTCAAAGTCGCGGACAAGATGTTCTCGGTGCTGGACGTGAAGACTCGCTGTGCCCCGCTCAAGACTTTCGTCCACAAGCTAGTGGAGAACAAGCGGTACGACGACGCGATGAGAATCTTCGAGCAGCTGATCCGGGCGACGGAGCCGACCGACTTGAAGATCGTGAGCTTGCTGTGCGAGGCCGGGGAGCTGGACCGAGCGGTGGAGGTGGCGGAGCTCATGAGGAAGCACCAAGTCAAGTATAACTTGGAGTTTAAGGTGCTGGTGGCGAAGCTTTGCGAGGCACAGAGGGTGGAGGATGCAAGGAAGGTGTTTGATATCATGGTGGAGGCCGGAGTGAGCCCCGACGCGGAGACTTGTACCAATCTGGCGATGTGCTCCGGAAAGGAGGTGAGCAAGGCAGTGGAGAAAGAAGAAGTGGAGAAGGAAGAAGAGAAGGCGATCGACGAGAGCTTCGACGAGAACGAGAGCGAGAGCGAGAGCAACAAGGCGTGATCGGGATGATGATGTCAAGCGACGCGCTAAAAGTACGTTCTATTCATTCTGGTATTTCATTTCGAAGAATTAGCAGTATAGATAGGCAGGCAGGCAGGAGGGGCTAGTCTTTTCTATCGAGAGAGAGAGAGTTCCATCGATTTTCCTTAGATGATCAACACGAAAATCTTACACTTCCATTCTGCTGACCAAATAATTTCTTTTGGATTTGGCTAAGGAATTCTGAAGAGGGAAGTCAGGATCTGTGGCAAGAGGTGTTCTCTCGTAGAGATCTCTGGGTCAAAAGTGAAGCTTGGATTCAGAAAGCTTACTGTGATTTTTCAACTAGGAAAAAAGTAAAATTAAACACAGAAATAATTTGCTGATTCAGTAAATATTATCGGCTAGAGAGAATATTTCTAGCAAATATATTCACAATGTCATAGCTCTCCAAAGTCTTTGTTTTGAAGCCCAATACCGGAGACATCCACACCTCAATCACAAAGATTGTAACCACAAGGGAATCATAGCAAGAAAAATTTATCTGTTATACGATGTCTAGGATCTTCCAAATTGAGGCACCACACCCCAACAATCACAACATCCCCAGGTGCCAGTATAGTTATGACAATGAAACAAAGTCACAACCTTGGTCCACAATCCTGTTTTTCCTGAATCATTTACATTTATTGGTGCCATCACTAGTACACAGACCCCCCCTTTCCAGACACCTTATAACATGGTTCGCTTTTCAAACAAAGTGATGGAAGAATCTTGGGCAGGATTCCAGACCATGGCAAACCAATCCTTGTCCTGTGAAAGGATTGCATCCTGTCATGAAAATCTACACCCAAAACGTGAGGTATGAGATCCTTCCACGCGACTCTCATGCATTCTCCTGCTCTGGAAATAAAATAACTCAATCAATCACGCGCTCTACTTTTTGGAGGAGCCCAAGCCAAGGTTTTCCAAGGACTCTGGCACAGAAGGAAATATTCGTTTGGTTTGGTTTAAAATTAAGCAGATTAACGAAAATCCTTGGAATATACCTGGAAATTTAATGTATATTTTCTACCCTATAAGTTTTCTACAATTATTAAAAATATTCACAAATCCCAAAACATTTTCAAACCACCCATCCCCATCCTTCCTAATGTTATTAGTTCTCCAAGTCTTTGTTTGGCAGTTGTAAATGGCTAAAAATTCTGAATGCACAATCAAAAATATGTTCTCATAAAGCAAACTAGAAGGTTCTTCAACATAGAGCCATGGATAAGTACGCTAGCTTCTTGGACTAAACCTTTAGAATCCAGCCTCAATAAATAACATGTAGAGCTGGTTGCAATTGTCATAAAGAAGGAATTTGCTGTCACCACGAAGATACTATAGGTATGACATTCATCTTCTTCACAATGTCTATATGCTGTCACTAAATTAGATAAGCTGCCATCTTCCAAATTATGGCACCACACCCCAACATCCTCCTCAGAAACCCTTGAGCATACATATAGATTGTTATCCCAATTAGCATTGATAATTGTATTCAAAACATATTTTTCGTCAAGATCAACCTTGTTCCACAGTTCCTGAATCATATGCGTAGATTGACTGCTTTTCTGGCACTAATATACAGATCCAATAATACTTTCCAGATGAGTCCATCCGCATTGCAGTCTCCTTCGAACATGGTTTACTTTCTAAACGAAGTGGGGGGAGAATCTTGGATGCTCCAGTGAGCGGATTCCAGACCATAAAATCCTCTGCTTTCATCCCAAGCAACAACCCACCGCTAGAGTTTAGAACATGATCCATGTTCTGTTCCATGGCAACCCAAGCCCTTGCTTCTTGTCCTGCGAAAGGATTGCATCTGTAAAGATGAAACTCTAGACCCAAAACATGAGGCAAGTGGCGTGTGTAGTGAAGAGCTGCGAATCCGGGTGTCTCTATGAGATTCTTCCATTGCTTGCACACGCCTCTCATTCGGGAATATAAAACAGCTGCTGTGAGCACCTCCTCAATTACCGTCCTCATAACCTCATAAACCTTTTTTCCTTAGGTTTAAGGTGTCACTAAGGTTTCCGTACAAGCTGACGAAGTGTCAAGATTTGTGTCATCGTTTTAGGAAGCTTCCTTTGGCATCTTCTCATTTTTCCAAGAGCAGAAGTGGCTGCTTTCATGGCTGATTACTGTCGAGTACGATATGTCCTTCCTTTCTCATGAGGAGAAGAGATTATAACTTAGTTTTATTCTATGTTTCTTAGCCGCTAGGTTCTGTCTTGGTAAATTTCTTTTTCTGACAGTTTACTCTTTTACTCGAATGGACAAGGCACTGCGGTGCGTGGACAGGCGGGTGAAGATCACACGTCTCTATCAGAGGTGCTTCGCCTTTCCCTCAGTTGTAACCACCGATTGTTTGGCAGAGATGAAGTCGTTATTCGCTGCCAAAGAGACGACAGCAATCTGTCCTTACTGATTTCCACGTGAGTGTTTTTCTGAGTTATGAACGTCCAACACCAATGTTTCCCGGAAATGCATATTTTTCTTGAATCTCTTTTCTCGATCGAGCTGAAAACAATGTGTTTTACTCGCTTTTCTTTGTTCTAGCGATTCATTCGACTTCGTTCTTTAAATAGGAGCACTGGATGCTATTCTTGGACATGCGGATGACCCGGGAAGTGTTTCTGGAGGTGCTTTTCCTTTCTTTTTTAGTTTCTCTTTCGTTCTTCTTTTTAAGGTTTAAGTATGCTTGCATCACTTACTGGTGTTCCTTTTATCAAAGATCACGTACCTTCTTCTGTTTTATAACAGGACTCCTATAACCAACGTTTCGACATGGTTGGCAAGTAGCTATCTACCAGGTGCCAAATACTCATGCCTGGTAACATGGACCACAATTAGTACCTACCAACAAATAGAGTGAAGTAAACTCTCTCAAAGAATTCCTATGCTAACTGTTGCTCTAAAATATATATATACACCAGGGAACCTAAATCCAAGCCATTGATTGAGTTATTAAGGACCCTTGGCCTAGGGATGCCATTTGCTCCAAAAACCTTCTAAAACATTTTAGCAAGCAGATATTACGGAATGTGCTGTACCTTGAAATGTTCGACCAGCCTCCAGTTCCACAGCCTTGTAATCTTTGGCCAAGTAGGATCATTCTCGCCTACAGATGCCGCGACTTGTGTGCCAAATCGCTGGAAAGACGTTCCTTTCGGTGGAATCTCCCAACCACGCCAGTTGTTGGTCCCCTTGTGGAGTCTCTGCATACAAGCAAAAGGCATTTTAGAGCACAGGGCCAGCATACCGCTGATAGCCTTCTCATAGAGCACTATAGCTCAATCGGTACCATCTTGTACATTTCTAAGCGAGCCGCGGGATTCCTTGACGTGGTACAAACGTGAGTGTCCATGTTACCAGTGCCAAAATCCTATGGTATTGAAAGACATGTGAAAACCTTCAAAACCTTTACTACCACCACAGCCTTTCGCCCTTGAAAGCAACAACGCACGCTTAAAAATCTAGAAATACAAATTAGGATAAACTCGATCCGATCCCCACGAAGAAATCTCATACGGGAGGAGAATTTGCGAGCTTGTTCACCTTGACTTGGAGCTCTGTGGCCCGCACCCTCTGTAGCATACATGAGCCAAGTATCTGGGTGATGCAAGCATACTTTCCCAAAAGCCTTAACACTCTTTTGACCTGTTCAAAAAAACTGTCACTCTCGAGAAAAGAACGAAGAACGAAATGGAAAGGAAAAGAAAGCGCACCTCTGATAGAACACGTTTCCCGGACGTGTGACCTTCATCCGCCTGTCCATGCACAGCATCCAGTGCTCCTTTGTCAAGAACGAAGTCGATCGAATCATTCGAGAACTAGAAAGCGAATTGATCGAGAACAAGAAAATAGCTTCACCTGCATTTTCGTCGCATGGCTGCTTCAATGTTCCTCCCAGTTCGAGCTTTTCAAAGTCGCAAAACCTCTCCTGAAAATATTTTCCTTCTCTATCGCAGCGATACTTTGCTGGAAACATTGATGTTGATAAGAACTCACATGAAATCGGCCATGAGATCATGGACAGATCCCCGTCGTCTCTTTCATAACAGATAGAAAATGTTCCCTGGACGTGTGATCTTCATCCGCCTGTCGTCCAGTGCCTAGAGAAACTTACAAAAACGAATTTCTATATTACAAAAACGATCAATCACTTCTCTCATTCTTGAGAAAGGTAGCACATATCACACTCCACAGTAGATGCTGGGAAGTTGGCCATCAAATCCGCTACTTTCTGCGTCACCTGCTCACGAAGATGCTGAAGGAACTCTGGCTCAGGTCATGACCTCACCAGGATGTAAAAATTGGAAAAAACTTGGAGCATTTTTGTTCTTCAACTGAGAAGATGATGTCGAAGCATGGGATGATATACTTCAAAACCGACTGGTGTTTCTACAGAAGCTCCACATGAGGCGAAGAGTGACAAAGCCAGGCAGAACTTCACCAAACAGCTTGACGAGGCTTTCTTCAGGCTTCCAGGGGAGTAAAGGGTATCGCGTTGGTACGGGTGAGTAACTAATATGCTTTTCAGTTTTATGTCAAGTATGAATTCTGATCATAGAAATATATGGACGAATATACTGCACTTCGCACGTTGGATCCAAAGTGTGCTGTGGAACAGGTCCTTTGCTTTCTATGGAATTTCTTTTTAAACTTTCGCTTTTTTCTGTGCACCAGGTACCCGTGAATGTCTCAGAGCGACCGTGTGCGATGGTGGCCAATCTATAGGGAGCACGATGATGAATGTGTTGGAAAATTGCAGCTGTTTATCAGTACATCATGGGAACTTGCCCTGAGAAAGGTTACTAAATTTTGCTGTTTTTCTTCACCTTTCCTATTTGCGTTTATCTCTTTCGGTGGGGGAAACTGTTGCGTTTTGGAGGTTGGTACGAAAGTGCACCATTTTGGACGGCGAAGACTACGATTGTATGGGTCCTGGCAATGGAGTTTACTGTATTACGGTG